AAATTGCAGCAATAGAGACCTTCAGATGTGCCAAAAAGTGACAACCTATCCTTAATTTTCGAGGAGAGAAGATACTATTTCATGCTACGGTTTAAACTGCTTAGCTTGAATTCCTTTTCATGGAATCAGCCTTAATTCATTTCCTTCTTCTTCTCTTCCTACTCCTCTTTCTCTTCTCCTCCTCCTTTTCCTCTTCTCTTCCTCTTCTCCTCTCCTCTTCCTCTTCTCCTCTCTTCCTCTTCATTCTTCTCTTCCTGCAAGATTCTTTCTATTTTGACTGTTTGGAAAGATAGATAGGATCACATGGCTTGAGTTCCTGAGCTGAAAAGGGTAGAGATGCTGAGAATGCCTTGGTTTTATCCCCTCTCTGGGGCCCACCCTAGTTTCCTGTTCCTGTGTAAGAAATAGAATGTTTTATTGGCCAAGTGTGATTGGACACACAAGGAATTTGTCTTGGTACATAAGCTCTCAGTGTACATAAAAGAAAAGATACATTCGTCAAGAATCATAAGGTACAACACTTAATGATAGTCATAAGCAATCAAATCATATTAGGAAACAGTCAATATAAATCGTAAGGATACCAGCAACAAGGTTACAGTCATACAGTTGTAAGTGGGAGGAGATGGGTGATAGGAACGATGAGAAGATTAATAGTAGTGCAGATTTAGTAACTAGTTTGACAGTATTGAGGGAATTATTTTTTTAGCAGAGTGATGGCGTTCAGGAACTATTTCTTGTATAAAGATGCATCCTGGAATGGAATGGAGTAGAATGGAATGTAAATTGGAATGAATATAAATTTATTTATTAATTCAATTTGTATGCCGCCCCTCTCCGAAGACTCATGGTGGCTATTGGAATGGAATGGAACAGAACAACATAACTGAATTTGGAACAGTATGGAAAGAATAGGATAGGACAGGACAGGACAGGACAGGACAGGACAGGACTAGGACTAGGACTAGGACTAGGACTAGGACTAGAAATCAGAAAGAATAGAATAGAATAGAATAGAATAGAATAGAATAGAATAGAATAGCAATGCAATGCAGGCCTTGATCCACCTGCCCACTGTAGCAGATGAGATCTTTGCGCCCATTGACGCCGGGTTGAAGGAAACCAGCAATGCTTCAGACTTCCGGAAACTAGCCGTCCGACGGATGTAGTGATCTAGGGCCCTCCGCACATCCAACTTGTGCCAGCGCTGTTCTCGTTGGTCTCGTGGGGAAGGGCAGAAGTCCGGTAGCACAATCTCCTGCGCGCGATGAAAGGAGAATTTACTTTAGGGTTGAAGGAAGGATCCAGCCGGAGGACCACTGTGTTATCTCTGAACTGGCATAGATCTTGCCTGATTGATAGGGCCGCAATTTCTGACACCCTCCTGGCTGATGTGATAGCCAGGAGGAAGGCCACCTTGTACGACAGGTGTTTGATGGAGATCGACCCCATAGGCTCGAACGGCGGAGAGGTCAGCACTCTCAGGACCAATGGGAGCTCCCACGTCGGGTATCGGTGGACCGTGGCTGGCCTCAAGTTTGTGGCGCCCTGCAGGAACCCTCTAATCCGTGGATGGTGGGAGAGAGACGGGTAAGGTGCGCATGTGATCACCGTAGACAACGCTGCTGTCTGACGCCTCAAGGTAGCGGGCGCCAGGCCCTTGTCCAGGCCTGCCTGGAGAAATTCCAAAATGTTGTTAATTGTTGCCGAGGTGGGGTCGGCCTGGTGAGCCAAGCCCCATTGGCAGAATGCTCTCCACGTGGCTTCATAGATACGTGCCGTGGAAGGGCGTCTGGCTGCCTGGATCGTGCTGATGACATCATCAGGCAAATTGTCCTTCTTCATAAGGCCCCGTTCAAATGCCAGACGGCCAACTGGAGCCACTGGGGGTCTGGGTGGCAGACAGCCCCCTGGAATAGGACAATCTGTTGAGGGGGGATCACCCATGGTTGCTCTATGGAGAGGGCTACCAGGTCGGCGTACCATGGTCGACGGGGCCAGTTGGGCGCTACCAGGATCATCTCGGCCCTTTCCGCCAGGAGTTTCCTGACGAGCCGCGGTAGGAGTGGAATCGGCGGGAACGCGTACAGGAGGCCCCCCGGCCATCTGCACCGTAGGGCGTCGTGATCCTCTGCATTGGGAGCTGGGTAGCGTGACACGAATCGAGGCACCTGAGCATTGGACTGGGTTGCGAACAGGTCGATAACTGGGGATCCGAATCGTGTGACTATCTTCTGGAACAGCCGGGGGTGGAGTTGCCACTCCGCTGGATCTATTTGTTCTCGGCTGAGCCAGTCGGCCCGTACATTGGCTGCTCCCGAGATGTGATCCGCCTTTATGGAGCGAAGATGCCTCTCCGCCCAACTGAATAGGGCTTCTGATCGAACATCAGCTCCCGTGACCTTGTGCCCCCCTCCCTGTTCACGTGGGCCTTGGCCGATATGTTGTCGGTGAGGACTAGGATGTGCCGGTCCTCCACCGTCGAGCGGAATTGCATTAGAGCTAGCCTGATTGCCCGCAGTTCCAGTAGGTTGATACTGCAGCAGCGCTCGCTCTTCGACCATTGACCCTGTGCCACTAGGGTGAGAAGATGAGCTCCCCAACCCTGAAGGCTGGCATCTGTAGTTAGGACCAGCCTGTCCGGCTCCAGGAAGTCGCAACCCTTGGTGAGAGCCGGGGATGTCCACCAGTTGAGGGAGTGCCGGACTTGCGGGGGCAGATGCACCTCGAGGACTGAGTCCGAGTTGCCTGCTCTTTGGAAGGGGAGCAGGAACCACTGGAGGGGCCGGGAGTGTCTGCGTGCCCACGGAACGATATTGAAGCAGGACACCATTTTCCCGAGTAGGCTTGAAAGGAGGAGCAGGGGAACCTTCTGCGAGGACAGGACCTGCTGAACTACTTCGACGATGCTCCGTGCTCTGTCCGGGGCTAGAAACACCTGGCCCTTGGTTGAATCTATCACGGCTCCCAGATGGAGTAGTCGGGTGGATGGGACCATCTGGCTCTTCTCGAAGTTGATGGTGAATCCGTGGTCCAGGAAGGCCTTTATGACTGCCTCCATATCCCTGGCTGCTTGGGTCGGTGAAGATGAAAGGACCAAGATGTCGTCGAGGTAACAGAGCACTCGTACTGGTATGGTCCTGAGTGTTGCAGCAACCACCGCCACCAGCTTGGTAAATGTGCGGGGAGCTGATGAGAGTCCCGAATGGCATCGCTCGATACTGGAAGTGTTGGCCCGCAAACTCGAACCTTAGGAATCGTCGGTGGTCGGGTGAACTGGAACATGCAGATAAGCTTCCCTCAGATCCACTGACTGCAGGAAGTCTCCCCTCCTCACGCCTGTCAGGATTGATCTGAGAGAGTGCATTTTGAACCTGCGGTACTGGACTGACAGGTTCAGATGTTTCAAATTCAGTATGCCCCTCCAGCCCCCGGAAGACTTTGGGACCAGGAAGAGTGTGGAGTAAAACCCGTCCCGGTGTTGGGCTGGAGGCACCTTCTCTATGGCTCTGATGTCCAGAAGATGTGTGATCTCTGCGTTCATGAGCAGGTTGAGGTCCAGGGATGCCGGGACCCTGCAGCGTAGAAATCGTCTGGGCGGGGCCCCCATGAATTCGATAGTGAGCCCTCGCGAGATAGTGCGTTGCACCCACAAGTCCGATGATGAGCGGGCCCACTGCCGGTGGAACTGGAGCAGTCTCCCGCCTATGGGGCCCCGCGCCTGGGAGTCACTTGCCCCTCCTGAAGGGCTTGAACCCAGATCCCCGGGCTGGGCGTTTGGAAGGCTGTTGGTTCCTGCTGCGGTCCTGGAACTGTCGTCTGTCGTGATAGCTGCCTCCTCCCTGGAACATGGATCTCTGAGATGAGGACCCGCCTGGTCCTCCGCTGTTCCGAAAGGGCTGTCTCTGAGGATACGGGGTGTAGCGGCGTTCTGCACGACGAGAGGCTGACGGCAACACCTTCCTCTTGTCCTTGTCCTCAATAAGGACAGGATCTAGCGCTGCACCAAATAAGGATGGGGCCTGGTATGGGGCCGCTGCCAGCTTCCATTTTGTTTTGAGGTCTGCTTTCCAATGGCGAAGCCAAAACAGCCTTCTGGCTGTGACAGTGGAAGCCAGGGCCCTAGAAGCGAATTTGACCGAATTCAGGGAGGCATCCGCTGAATATTCTGTGGCTGCCACAATTTTGTTTATGTCCTGATGCAGCCTAGTCTCCTCGGGAGGCAGCCTCTCTTGAAGCTGCCTTAGCCAGATAAGTGTTGCTCGGTTGAAGAATGACGTGGCCGTTGCCGTTCTGATAGCCCATGCCACTGCCTGGTGTGATTTCCGAAAGGTCAGTTCTGCTCTCTTGTCCTCAGATCTGAGCCCGTCCAGGGCGTCGGTGGAGATCACCGAGGTGGAGGCCAAGGCAGCCACTGGCTGGTCCACTGAGGGGAGTGCTAAAAGGTCCTCGAGTTCGGGGGCCGAGCAGTAAAGTTTTTTATCCTGGCTGTTGGGTGAAGTCAGCGAGCCAGGTTGGCCCCAGGGGGTCTTGATCACCTCTGAAAACAGGTGAGGACAAGGGATGAAATCTTTCTCTTGCTTTGCAACCTTAAAGAGGGCCTCGTGGGGGCCCACAGATGACTGGGCCTGCTGTGGGGCATCCCCTGGTACTCCCAGGTTTGTGGAGAGACGTGCCTTATGTAGCAGCGACTTGAATAATGCCGGGCGGAACAGCCCCGAGACGGGTGGATTGTCCGGGGCGAGTCCTTCATCCTCGGAAAACTCTATGTCCTCCGGGCATTCTTCTGCTTGGTCGGAGTCTTCTGACGATTGCTCCTGTCTGCGAGTGGCCCTCTGCTGTGGGTGTTTCTGCACTTGGGCCCCCAGACCGGCGGGTGTCTGGCGCGGGTTCTGTGCAGTTTGTTGCAGGCCCACTGCCAGCAGGGATGACAGGGCAGATGAAAAGGCAGATTGTAAGTCCAGCTGCGACAAGGGCAAGGGCGCCTCCATGGCTTGGAGGCCCGCGGCCGTAGGGGTAAAGGTGGCTTCAGGCGGACGCTGGCGTGAGTAGTGGCCGGTGGTCATAGAAACATCCGGCATAGAGGTGGATACCCCCTTTGACCGAAGCAATGGGTGATCCACCGTATCTGGCTCCTGAGGGAGGACTGCTGCCTGTGAATGCCCCTGCTGTGCCAGCTCTACTCCCAGGTGTGCTGGATAGGTTGCCTTCTGTGCCCTGGGACACCCTCGTTCGGTGTCCTGGCTCTGTGCCAACTTCCCTTTGTGGGTCTTGCGGCTGGATGCCTCAGACCGATGCCCCTGGGACCTTCCGGAGTTTGTGCCCCGTTTTCGTGGGGGGCTAGCCTCCAGGTCTGAGTCAGATGATAGCAGGGCTTCTGCCATGACTGCTCCCTCCCCGTTTGAAGTTCCCTCCCTTGGGAACTACGCACCGGTGGCGGTGTGGAGGTGAGGAGATAATTAAGCCCCGGGATCTAGGCTGGCTTCCGCAGATGCGTCGAAGGGTGGGGAATGGCCCGCAGGTCCGATCCCCACTGCGGAACTTCCGGGGGCGGGCTGAGGCGGGGATTCAAACTTGGAGGCCCGGGGGTCCGTCCAAGATGGCGACGTTGCCACGTGGTCGCAGTAATGGCGGGCGCGAAGAGACGGACTTAAACTGGCGGCCCGCAGGTCCTACCAGAAGCCGCTGTGCCCCTGCGCCCCTCGTTGCTCCCGGCGCCGCTAGGAGAGGGTCCCTCTGATTTGGGTTGGGCGTGCACGGCGCGGACTTAAATTGGCGGCCCGAAGGTCCTACCAACGGCCGCGATCGCCCTGAGTAATGGGGAAGCGCTGCCGCGCTAGATCGGCTCACCCGCACACCAGCTGGTCTCCTGCAGACAGAAAGGCGCCGCTGGTGAAGCTTCGGATGTTCTCTGTGCTCTGCAGGCTGCCGAAAGGATGTCCCGAAGCCAGCTGATAAGGGGGGGTCTAGACGACGATGCGTGGTGACCTGGAGCCCCAGGTACGCTCCCCCTTGAAAGAGTTGATCTCTTTCCGCTTCGGATGCAGAACGAGGGAAGAAAACCAACCGGGAGGTAATAATCAAAAATAAATAAAAAGCCTAAACGAACCTTAGCCAGGAAAGGAAGAGAAGGAAGAGTTGGGGAAGAAATTCCTCTGAGCTAAAATTTCTCAACAGTTCTTGCCAGCAACTGAGTGACGACTGGGGATCATGGATGGAGGCGTGGCTAAGCCACGGAAAGGATATGCAAATCTCACTCAGTTGTTGCCAAGCAATGAGGGACTAAACCCAGCTATGGATAGTGGGAGCAGCGCTCAGGAAAATAGAATGTTTTATTGGCCAAGTGTGATTGGACACACAAGGAATTTGTCTTGGTACATAAGCTCTCAGTGTACATAAAAGAAAAGATACATTCGTCAAGAATCTTAAGGTACAACACTTAATGATAGTCATAAGCAATCAAATCATATTAGGAAACAGTCAATATAAATCGTAAGGATACCAGCAACAAGGTTACAGTCATACAGTTGTAAGTGGGAGGAGATGGGTGATAGGAACGATGAGAAGATTAATAGTAGTGCAGATTTAGTAAACTAGTTTGACAGTATTGAGGGAATTATTTGTTTAGCAGAGTGATGGCGTTCAGGAACTATTTCTTGTATAAAGATGCATCCTGGAATGGAATGGAGTAGAATGGAATGTAAATTGGAATGAATATAAATTTATTTATTAATTCAATTTGTATGCCGCCCCTCTCCGAAGACTCATGGTGGCTATTGGAATGGAATGGAACAGAACAACATAACTGAATTTGGAACAGTATGGAAAGAATAGGATAGGATAGGATAGGATAGGATAGGATAGGATAGGATAGGATAGGATAGGATAGGATAGGATAGGATAGGACAGGACAGGACAGGACAGGACAGGACAGGACAGGACTAGGACTAGGACTAGGACTAGGACTAGGACTAGGACTAGGACTAGGACTAGGACTAGGACTAGAAATCAGAAAGAAAGAATAGAATAGAATAGAATAGAATAGAATAGAATAGAATAGAATAGAATAGAATAGAATAGAATAGAATATTCCTTATTGGCAAAGTGTGATTGGACACACAAGGAATTTGTCTCCAGTACATACGCTCTCAGTATACTGACAAGCAACAAAGTGATAAATCATAAATCATAAGATACAACCAACAAGTGATAGTCATGAGATTCCAATAGGTAATAAGAAAGATGAGAAGAATAATAGTAATACAGTCCTACTACATGATATCCTAAGGCATATTAGATATCCTTAGGCAAAAAGACAGTGTTGTGGGAATAAGTCTGCAAAACATATCACGGAAAACTTTGAAAAGAATGCAAACGTCCATAGTCAGAAGACGAAGAAGGAAAAAAAAAAAACGAGAATAAAAACAATTCACCCATCAGTATTGCAAAAATGGTTTGAAGGCCTAGGTCCTCTACAAGGTCTTCTTGTGGCTTACGAAATTCTGTATCTAAATGGCAGAATCCACATTCTTGTCCGGCCAAACGAAGTGCATATGTATGTGTGTCTGCACATATGTGTCCTTCATCATTTCCAGATGGCAAGTGGGCAAGAAGGAGGCCTTCAAACTGACCCAGCATGACTTATGCACTTGGATTCGTTCAGGCTCTGCATTATGGAAGGGCCAAATGTGTTTCTCATCTCCTTTTCTACAGAAATTATTGTAGTTGGGTGGGGGTGGAGAGAAAGGGTTGGGGAAAAGGTAAAAAAAAAAGCTAAAACTTAAACTCTTTGCTTTTTTTTTTTTTAAAAAAAGAAGGGTTTAAAACTTTATGAAAAAAAGAAATCGAAAGTATTTACTTCGACTTCGAACAGAATAGACATGATGATCTCAGTTGTGCCCAGAGATTGTTACAGGATGCTTCTCACCTCCATTTGTGGTCCTATTGAAATGCCTTTGTTTTAAAATTGGAAGGTACCTCGGAGGTCTTCTAGTCCAACCTCCTCCTCAGGCAGGAAAATTTATACCATTTCAGGCAAATGGTTGTCCAATCTCCTCTCTCTCTCCCCCTCTCCCTCCCTCTCCCTCTCCCCCTCTCTCTCCCCCTCCCCCTCTACCTCTACCTCTACCTCAATCTGTCTGTCTGTCTGTCTGTCTGTCTGTCTGTCTGTCTGTCTATCTATCTATCTATCTATCTATCTATCTATCTATCTATCTATCTATCTATCTATCTATCGTCTATCCTATATCTATCTGTCTATCTATATTTACCTGTCTACCTGTCTATCTATCTATCTATCTATCTATCTATCTATCTATCTATCTATCTAATATCTATTTATCTGTCTATCTATATTTACCTACCTACCTATCTATCTATCTATCCCTACCTCTACCTCTACCTCTACCTCTGTCTGTCTGTCTGTCTATCTATCTATCTATCTATCTATCTATCTATCTATCTATCTATCTATCTATCTGTCATCTATGAATTTACTAATCTATATAAATATAGCTGTATGAAAGTTGTGACTACCGCATGTCCCATTCTCATTTAACATTTGATGCCTCAAGATGCAGCAACATAATTCAGTTCTGAAACCATTGTTACTTTAACTTAACTTTCATTTAATAAGTTCAATATTTGGAGTTGAGATGGGATGCCATACATTGCCTTATTTATGATGGCGGGGTTGGGAAAGGAATTGGATGACTTTTTTCAATGGTATCCTCTGAGTCTGAATATGTTAGATCAGTCTCCGTCTTTCTCCAGATAGCATGGTTAGATGGTTGAAATTCAACATATCTGATGGGTATCAAAGTGAGAGACACTTGGGTTTGACAAAAAGAACTAGCTGAACTTGAAGTGCATTATATCTATCTCAGTTTTGTCATCCAGATATTGGTCAATTCCAATTCCTTTAATTCCTTCTGAGCTGAATGTTGCCTAGAACTTCTGGCCCTATTTTTAGAAAGCTCTGACAAATTTTTCATCTAGCTGTTAAAGGGATTACTGGTTTAAGAACCCACTAATCCATGGTCTACTATGAAAGACTTTTCATAGTCTTTCAGATACAGCAAGATTTTGGGTTGATCATCCTGTCCTGAAGTCTGCCTTCCAGTTTTTAAAAATGTTTTCTTCTTCTGTAAAAGGGGTTCTGTTTTAGTATCCTATTCTCAGATTACCTAGTAATTTCTTTCGCATTTGTCTTGGTGGTGTTTATGAACTTTTCATAAAGTTTATGAATTTATTTGAAGGTTGAAGGTGAGTTTCATTACTGGTGTTCTCTTTCTCAAGGTCCTTCAGTTGGAAGGAAAGTTTTTTGGCCTAAATTGGACTGAACCCACAGCCCACCTTTTATCACACTTCAGCAATGAAGCTGGTCATGAATGAAGCTATCCTCAAACAATTTAATGCAGAGTTATTTTAGAGCAGCTATTGGTATATATCCATTAGAGCAGTGTGGTGGCCTAGTAGTGAAGACACTCACCTCCCACTCAGAAGGTTGAGCGTTCAATCCTAGGTAGCAGCAAATCTATCTCTCCTAGGCTGCAAAGAAAGAATGTCTGCTGTGAACTCCATGTAGGCATCAGAAAGGGCATCCAGACAGTAAATGCTCTCTCCATTCAGTCACCCCAACTCTACCTCTAATTAAGGGATTACAGGGTCGTAAAAGGGAGGGTTTTTAATATATATATATATATATATACATACAGCATCACGTTCTTGGTTCAACAAGCAGCTATTAATAGTTCTCGTGAATGTATAGTGGGGCAGGATTGGGGATTCAAGACTTAATTTGTATTACTTTGTGCTTCTTCTGACAGTTTCATAGGTGCTGCCATCTAGATGTCATCCAGATAATTGAGGTAGGAATCTTATTCCCTGACAATCTCTAGATGGCAGCATTCACAAGATAGCTTCATAAGACGATTGACCATATCATTATTTTTTTTAAAAAAAATCTTCCTGGGTGATCAGGGATAAGAGGAAATAATTTGAAATATCAAATG